CTGTTCACATATAAGTGATTTTGAAAATAAGATTTTTTCTTGATATACACACTGTAATTTAACAGCTTTTTTCGAAGTTAACTAACTTTGGGAATGGAGTGTGACATATTAAATAATTAAATGTTACAACCAATTGCTGAAGCTGATGCTGATGCCGTTGTTGTTTGTCTTCGCTTGTTGTTAAATTATCTTTTAAAGTGCCCCTCACCCCCAACTCAATATTTTCGTACTGACTCAACATGAAGTGAAAAGTTGAATGGTAAGATATTCTTAAATGATTTCAGTGATGCATATTGGAGATAGCAAGGTTTATGCTTGCAATATGTTAATGAGTATGTTGTCATATATAGKAGGCATTTTAGTTTATTTGCCGTCATTTGTAATTTGACGTCACTCTCATTAACATATTGGAAGTATAAACCTCGATAYCTCGAAGATGCATCAATTCTGAAATAATATAGTTAGGGGTGAGAGACATTTTAATATTTTGGTTGTTTCGATTAATTGGACGACAGACCGACCGACTGACTGAATAATCGAACAACGGTTGATTCATTATTATTTCCTCAATTTCATTTGTGTTTATAAACTTCTAGTAGTTCAGCATCTCATTAAATTGCTTTCGAATTCAAATACTCCATTGATTGATCATGAAACTCATCATATTTATTCCAGGTTTGATATCATGTCTGGAACCATGAGCAAAGTTTTACTGAATGCCCCTTTCACAGAAACAGAAGTACAAGATGGCAAGCTTGTATACRTCTTCGACAAGAAGCAACACGCTCAAACTCTTCTTCACAACCTTATTGTCATGCAAGACAATGACGAAGGAAGTCTGACAGATGTGGTCATCACCAGTAAAGAGAATGAGCAGTTTTATTTCCATGGACCTATCCTGGCTGCTTTGAGTAAAAACCTAGAGGAAAATCTTGTGAAACGAGGTCTTGGCTCTGCAGCCTCTTTCATCTCCAAAACTGTCATGGAGGAAAATTTCAGCTCAGAAGCTATTCAGTGTCTGTGGGACTATGCTTACACATCAGTCGTAACTATTACTCCGTCCAATATGAACGAGGTGAAGGAGCTAGCAGAACATTATGGTATCGACAGCTTAAAGAGAGAATGCAAAGTGCAAGAAGAGGAAAATTTCAATGATGACTGCGATGGTGTTGAGCTCAAATTCAAAGATCTCCCTGAATTCATACTAAACGCTTTGTATGTGCTTCTTAAAGGCAGCAATATTTGTTCAACTGCTGTAACAAGTTCTGACCCCTTGGCTAAGATTCCATGCTATGGCGCCATCCTGGCTGCAGCTACCAGTGAGCTAGCATGTGGAGACTCCCATGAAAACCTGCAAGTAAATGATGATACTTTTCAAGCCATACCTGCTTTCCTGAGGTACCTCTATACAGCTAGCCTGATGGTCGGGCCTGGTACGGTACAACAATTACTAGAAATGGCAGTAGAGTTTAACCTGCCTGGCATGGGACAGGCGTGTTGTTGCTGGCTGAAAGATGCCTTGTCACCTGACAACGTCTTGAGCGTAATGAGCATTGCGAAGGCTTGGCAAGTAAATGTTCAAGATCAAAGTTCAGGCGTAGGAAGCGAAGATTGCTTCATACCAGTGTCCCTGTACGACGCATTAGAAGATCTTTATCAGTCTGCAAGATCACTTGCCTTGAAGGATTTCCTCGATGTTCAAAAAAGCGAGGATTATTTGGAGATGTCTTTGGCAGAGTTGCTAGACTTGATTGTTGATGACGATCTTATCGTGGATTCAGAGGAAGACGTCTTCTATGCTGTCATGAAATGGGTAGAATTTGACCCAGAAACACGTGGCGTGGAGCTGCCAAACCTTCTTCAGTCTGTTCGCCTGGAGCACATGTCGGTTGGATTCCTCCATACCATCAAGGAACATGACTTGGTGAAAACGAATTCCTATTGTGTTGAGGTGATAGAGAAAGCATTGAGAGATTTACTTGAACAGAATTATCCTGGTAAGTTTGGCTTTGATGCAACAGGTAAATAAAGTAATGTCAATTTCCACCAGGTTCTTCGCTATTCCCTCCCTCCACAAAAATCAACTTCTAAATCATCTAAATCGATCTATCGGCTGCCTTAGCGATTGGGTAGCAAAACCTGTTATGCATTAAGCCGTCCAACCAGTAGTGGTAGACGTAACGCATTAGAATTCAACTCATGACAAATTGGACTTAATTTCTTTCCATTTCAGACCACGTGTCATTCCCTGAAGCATCATTTCCTTTTTAAAAATTGCATATGAAAAGACACATGAATATGGATAAAACCCAAACAAAGCCAGAATCTTATTCAAAAGACAATGACATTGTTCTGAATGGGAAAACGCTAGTCCAAGCTAAAATTGTTTATTATCAATACTGAAGAAATAGAAAACGCTCACGTGTGCTTTGTGCGGTTTAAAGCACGCGGGGGTTGGCAGAACACGAGAGAAGTGTCTTATAACTCAACCGCAAGTGCTTTATAACTCAACAGAGCACAGCAAGCAAGTTTTTTATTTCTTTTGTAAAATACGAATTATATGAATGACGAAACTGAAAGTGCGCGCGCGTGCTGTGTGCTCTCATAAAGTACGCGCTCCCAAGCAATCATAGCGCGAGATTTAAAGCAATTATTTTATAATGATGCATAGGCGTTTAGGTAGAGCATTCAAACTTACCGCAAAAATAACTAAAGGTGTTTAGCTGACGTACTAAATGTTTTTTTCCTATTTCTTTATATAATTACAGAGGGAGACGTTCAATTCAGCGAAGGAGCTGAGTATTTTTTACCCGATTTTAGTTCTAAACAGTGTGCCCCAGCAAACTACGAACCGATCTTTAGCATTCCACATCCACCCGAGTGTACACCGGATTTCAACCCAGTTCCTGAATCCATTCCGTTTGATGCAGCGTCGCTACCCGAATGCTTTGACCAGTCGTACGATGACGATGGAAGAACCTTACWAGAAACAACTACACAAGGTCTTCCAAGAAAGCCAGATATGAGGCTGAGAAAAAACAGAAACTCTTTCCTTGAAGAAGGGAAAAACCTGGATGGGACGCCCGACAAAAGACTCAGGGAAAACAAGAGTCAACATTCTGCAGCCAGAAAACTAGAGTATCCAACGGAGGATTTGCCAAGAAGGAAAGATGGGCAACCCGATAGAAGATTTAAAGCAGTGAAGGAGTTGGAAAATGYTAATGCACCATGCAGAAAAGATGGAAAACCAGACATGAGATTTAAAGTCAACAAAACGATGAAAGCAGTCAAAGAAAATGGCCAAGATGCGCTTGCCAAACTGAAGCTGTTGCCTCAAGGACCGACAAGAAAGGATGGAAAACCAGACATGAGATTTAAAGCAAATCGCTTTCCTACGAAAGGAGTTCTGTGTAATGGACCAACTAGAAAAGATGGCCAACCAGATATGCGCTATTCCGCCAACAAACAGAAGGTAGATATTGAATATYTGACTACAGAACACGACGCGTGTACAAAAGGTCCAAGGAAGAAGGATGGTACTCCTGACAAGCGATTTGCTGTTAATAAACATCCCAGTGACACAATAACCAAGGTGGCACCGGGTCCAGTGAAGAAGAATGGAGGCCCAGACATGCGGTTTGCTGCAAACAAGGGAATTTCTGCCTACGCCTCATCAGGACCACTGAAGAAAGATGGAACTCCTGATATGAGGTGCCGTGCCAACAGAAACTCGCCTGATGTAAGTGTCCGTGGTTCATCAAGTGGAGGGGTAAACGTTTCATGTGGTCCATTGAAAAAAGACGGCACTCCAGATATGAGGTACAGTGGCAACAAGAGTTCAAATGCCTCAAGTGTCAGCTCAGGATGCTCCAGCATCGGCGGATCTACTATGTCTATGTCGAGTAGTTCGTCTGGAAGCTATGGCTCTTCTGTTGCAAGTGGTCCATTGAAGAAAGATGGCACCCCTGATATGAGGTACAGAAGCAATAAAAGCTCAAGTAGTTCAAGCTTTGGCTCGTTAAGTAGTAGGAGTTCCGGTTGGTCTACTTCGTCGTATTCAAGTGGTTACTCAGGAAGCTCAAATGTTTCTACTTCGAGTGGACCGATGAAAAAGGATGGTACTCCTGACATGCGTTACAAGGCGAACCGCCATTAGAATACTGTGTTACTGGCACTCCTTGCATGCGTTACAAGGCAATCCGCCGTTAGGATATTGTGTTACTGGCACTCCTTACATTTGTTACAAGGCAATCCGCCGTTAGAATACTGTGTTACTGGCACTCCTTTTACATGCGTTACAAGGCAATCCATCGTTACAAACGCCTCGCCGTACCCTCCCCCTCAGGTCAACACACGCCGCCGCTATCGTTTCACCGACCAATAACAATCGAGGGGAGGGTACGTGAAGGCGTTTGTAACGACGATCATAATCCGTTGCCCGGCTGATGGTCGTGAGAACGGAGGATTGAAGATAGCCTGCGGGGATTGGCAGAACACGAGAGAAGTTTTAGAAGCGGAGTGCTTCTCGACACTTCTCAAGTATTCTGCCAATCCCCAAGTGCTTTATAACTCCACACAGCACAGCACGTTTTTTTATTTCCTTTATAAAATGCAAAGGGAGCGCGCTTGCTGTGTGCTCTCATAAAGCACGCACTCTCAACCAATCAGAATGCGACATTTATTACAGTCATTGTTGGCACTGCTTGTCCCATACTTGGTTTTATTTCTTACACATACGCGAAGCGTACGGTAAAGACTGAATAAACACATTAAATAGATAAATAACTTAGTA